GTTCTTGGCTTTTGACCCTGTGCCCCACTGCCCCTTCTATGTCACCCATTTCATTAGAGAGAATTGCTGGCTTCATTTCTGCATAGCATATCAAACTTTGGCTTCTAGAATCATCTTGAAATCCCCCCTACCTCTCCAGAAAGCTTTTTATCCTTCTTCAGTGTTTCGTGCTCTCCTGCCCCTCTGCCTAAAGCTGGGGCCCCACCAATCTCCCTCGAAATTGACCCCTGGGGGGCTCCCCCTGCCCTGCTGCAGCTGGCGCCTCTGTCCCCGGGGCCCCCAGCCTCATTTCCACCCCTTCCCCTGAGCCCCTGTGCCAAGTGCCCAGTTAGAAGCCGCACCTGGCCACTTCTCAGGACAGGGCCAGCAGGGTTCTAGATTCAGTGACTGAGTGGAGGAGGAGTCAAGTGGATCTTCCAGGCTGGTGGGATTTGCCAGTGAGCAAGAAACCAAAGAGATTAGTGCATTTCAGGAAGCTTTTTAACAATGAGGCTCCACAACAGGCAATGTTTGACTAATCTTAGTTACTCAGAAAACCAAATCACCCAGAGCACCTCTGAGAATTCCAGCTAATTGGATTTTAGGGTATATGCCCTTTTGGGAGAAAACATGATGTAATGGGCTCAGAAAACCCTAGATGCCAGTCCCAGGCCCCTTGTCAATTAACTGCGTGTGCGAACCCTCGAGTCACGTTATTTCATGGAGCCTCAGTTCCCCATCTGCTAAGACAGATCCCTACTTGCAGGCTTGTTGCAAGGAATGGAAAGATTGTATGGAACATATATGCTCAGTGTGTATCAATATTTACCTTTCCCCCCACCATTTCTAACAGACTCTCTGTTTTTTAGGGTCCCCCAGGTCCTCCAGGTCCACCTGGCTCCCCTGGGATTCCAGGAAAACCAGGAACTGATGTTGTCATGGGACCCCCTGGGTCTCCTGGAGAGGATGGAGCTACTGGTGAACCCGGGCCCCCGGTGAGAAGCTGAAGTTCTCTCCCCATTCTGTGGCTATGGGGCTCTTTTAGCCAGGGAGGGGCACACAGATTGCAGACCCCAGTGCTGTTTAAGGTTAGCTATGGGGAGGGAGCTGTGAGCCAATGTTTGTAAACAGAACTCCTCACCTGAGTCATCACTGAGACATGAGCAGTGGCCAAGAGACTGTCATCCATGGGCTATTCTACTGCTTTGTCATAGTCAGTACAGGAATGCAGACTCATGTTGAACCTTGGAATCATGGGACATCATGTCTGGGTCTGGGGTGGAGACCATCCAGCCCAAGTGTGCCCCGACACCACCACAGAGGAGGAAAGGGTGCAGAGAGCCAAGAGCACTCAGACACAGGGGCACAGCCAGGAGTGGCTCAGCGAGGGCTGGGGACTGGCACGTCTGCCTTGGACCTGGCACAAGGCCCTGGGCCCACCAGCCTTACCCACCTCTTGACCCTTGGTCGTTTTCTAGGGAGGGTTTGTGTGTGATTCTTAGCAGAGACATTACGGACTGATTGTCATTGCTGTTCCTCAGGGCCCTGAGGGACAGCCTGGAGCTGATGGAGCCTCTGGCCTTCCTGGGATGAAAGGGGAGAAGGTATGAAGCAGGTGGGAGGGCCCCACGTGGGAGCCCTAAGGCCACCCTTCTGTCTCTGGCCCATAGCCTGGCCTTGGCTCTTCTGTGAATGACCCCTTCTGGTCATCTCTGCTGGACGTCCCCATCTTAGGACTCTACACACCCAAACCTGAACTTGGCCTCTTCCTTGCTCTCCCCTGCTTGTCTCCAGTATCAGTGAGCAGGCCATCATCCACCCAGTCAGCAAATTCAAAGCGGGGTCTTCTCTAACTCCTGCTTCCTCTCCCTTCCCTGCCCTCATTGGTCGGTTGTCAGTACTGCCCAGCCTGACTCCCATGCCTCTCCCTATCTGGCATTCCCTCTTCTCACCCACACCGTGGCATCAGGCTCAACATGGTGCTCCTCTCTGTCCACACTCCTTTGGCCACCTGCCCAGTCCATCTTCCTGTTGTAGGCTCTCTTCAGTCACTGCTCTGTCTTCTGAGAGTATCGCTGGCTCTCTGCTGCCTTCAGGACCAAACCCTGATGATATGTAGACTTTGCAGCCTTCCTGCCTGCCCAAGCCCACCTCCTGCTGCCCCCTCGGCCTCCAGGCCTACGATGTCCTGGACATGCTCTGCTCTGTCAGCCTCCTGGTCTTTGCACAATTTTCTCTCTGCCTGGGATGTCCTTGTCCTTTTCCCATCCCCCTGGGTCCAGATGAGATATATTCTTTGGGAAACTTTCCTAGAACCACTCCCCCTTTTTCTTAATTGTCAAATGATGTGTGCTAGAGAGAAAGACATGAAGACAGAAAGAGCAAAAGGGAAAAAGACCTCCCAATGGGATGTGGTTACGCTACAATCCCTTTTCCTCCTTTTCTATACCCTAGCAGAATTTGGGGAATGCACACACGCTCCTTGTGTGTTTCTCAAGCCACCAGGGCTAGGATTCAGATCACGTGGTCCTCCATGTGGGATTTGGCTCCCTCAACCTCTAGACTGTGGGGCGGGCCAACCGAACTCTTTATGAATGGAAAATATCCCTCTTTCCTCTGCCTTCAATTAATATAATAGAGGGGACCTCAAAAATGTGTGGAAAATGGAATTCAAGCATGCATTTATTTTGGTAAAGAAAATTTTGAAATTCATGCAGAGTTTTTTTTATAATACACATTTTCAATGAACTTTTTGAAAGTCCCTCATATATACACTGCTTAGAACTTTCTTACCCAATGACACCAGAGGTGTTAGCTTACCTGTCTGCTCCTGTTCCCCACCCTGACACAGGGTCCCTAGTACTGTCTCTGTATCCTTAGGCCCTAGTCCAGGCCTCTATCCAGTTCGATGAAAGAGTGAAACTTTCTTCAAACCCCATTGCAGTCTGTCAGCGCCCCCAACCCCTGAGTCTGGTCTGCCTTCCTTCAGCCTCTCTCTCTGTGAGCTGAGCCTGGGCACTGTGGGGTGGGAATCTTGCCTCTCTAGCGTTCCCAGCCTGGTTGATGAGATAAGCTAAGTGCAGCAAAGGGAGTAATAAAGCCAGGGTGAGCTCCTTGTTAACGAGGTAGTCAGTGGGGCTCTTGGGGTTCAGGGGAGGGAGTATCCCTCCCAATAGCTGCACCCCTCCTAGATGGAGACTTGGAAAGTGCTGACTCTCTAGACACCAACATTGTCACAAATGAATTTTCAGTTTCTATCATTTCTCAAATGTGTTTATTTGAATCGAAACTAACTTGATTTTCATGGAAAGCTCATTTCTCAGAAGAAACAATTGCGAGCTTTATTGAAGTCATTTTACATGTACCAACTGTTTCATAAGAAATGAACTTTTTCAGGAAACACCACAGACTCACACTTATTTTGCCCGTTCTTCTGACCACCCACCCACCCCCAAACCCCTCCCGCACTCTGTCTCGTACTTAAGGAAACCCACACCCACCGTCTGCACACAAACACCCCTGCAGGCACGCTCTGCAACTGCTTGGAGTCATCTGTGCACAGAGCTGCAGGCTTGCTCAGGGTGACTGTCGGAGATCAATCAAAAGTTTGTTTTCTGAAAAAGTTTTTAATTGCCAGAAGGCAAGAGCATTTGTCAGAGAGAGAGTGAAAGCACCCTCCCAATTGCTCACACCACAATCCCTTCTCCATTGCTCCATCTTGTTGGCATTTGGGGCCTGCATGCACTGATGCCGGGGCATGCTTCTGGAACTTTGATGTGAGTCTCGTCTTGTCGCACTGTGAGCACACGATGCTTTCTGGTCAAGTAAGAAGCATACTCAAGAACTTGGAAATTTGGACCTGGAGAACTGAAGGGAAACCTAGCACATGATATTTACCTCTAAAAAATAGGTAAACCAGGGCCAACAGGTGGCATAATGGTTAAGGTGCTGGACTCCCACGTGGCTGACCACAGTGCAAGTCCCAGACCTGGCAGCTTAAAAGTCACGCTGGGCACATGTGCATGCATGTCCAAATTTTCCAAAGGAGAATGGAAGAGAAGGATTGTAGTGTGACCATCTCCCCAGGGGGTGATTTCTTGTATTCTATCTCTCAATCTCCCTTTGTCTCTCCAGCCAGTGCATGTGACTAGTAGTAAAAATTTCTCAAAAATAAATAAATAAATAAATAAATAAATAAAGGTAAGCCAATGAGCATAGTCTGGATGTCCAAATAATACAAACATACTAAAGGACCTGAACACTCTCAGGGCTGCTGCAGACATGAAGTACAGTGATACTTATGATCCTCGGCTCCCCACCTCCATATCTGTCCTTTGGTTTGCACGCCTCCAGGGACAGGGAACTCACTTCCTGCCAGGCAGAGCCTTCCACCATCGAATGAATCCACTCGTGGCAGTCTTTCCTCATGCTGTGATAAAATCAATTTCCTTACCCATTAGCGGGGCACATAGACCAGTCTAAGCAGTTATCTAAAGTAGAACTTTCCCTGCAAAGAATGAGGTTCCATTTTTTCAGCTGAGAAAAAAGATGTGTGTGTGTGTCATCATTATTATCAAATGTGGCATTGTCATCAAAATGTGGATGGCCTCTAAGAATTTATCAAATGTTTCATTTTCCAAACATAATTTTTTTCTTTAATAAGAACAACTGGCAAGATGGCTCTAAGGTTTTCAGAGATGAGGCTACTTTCACTTCTGTTTCATGATAGCCCTGCCTGTGGTTTGCTTCCTTAGGAGGAAGATGCATAGGCTGGCACTTTAAGGCCAGATTGCAACAGGCAGCAGACTGGCTGGTTTCACCCAAGAGAAGCAGACAGAAGCTGTTGGCTTGGACTAGGCAGTGAAATGAGAACCTGATCCTTTGAATCCTGCAAAATTAGGCTTAGCTTTCCCAGAAAGGGCTGGCCAGCAGTGGAGGCTGCAGGTCCTCCTCCCACCTCCCCAGAATGGCCAGGGTGTGTCTGCTAATTCCAGTGCCTGAGGTTCCAGGGGAGGCTGCAGAATGGTCAGGGCGTGTCTGCTAATTCCAGTGCCTGAGGTTCCATGAGGCTGCCTGAGGAGTGCCTAAAGCAGGTCTGAGTGCAGAAATTTAGTGCCACACCAACTCTTCCTACCTTGGGAACCTGCTGCTTCCTCCGGATGCTCAGTGCCCATCCCTCCCTCTGTTGTCCCTATTCCTAGGCAGGGGCTCCCAGCTGGCAAGGACTACCAGGAGAACAAGGAAGCAGTCAGTGGAAGTGCAGGGCCTCTCTGTGCTGTAGCTGTGCCCCTGACACCAAGCACTTGTCTCCCAGCACCATGAGGCAGCCCACACCTGGCAGACCTGTGAACCTCACCAATAAAGGAGCAGGGAGCCTCAGCGTAGGAAGGAGAGACAGGGTGCTTGTCCGTGGTTGGTTTCCCATTGTGTGCAGGTTGTTGTGCTGGGTATACTCTGGTCTCATCTTTCTCCTTTATCCTGAGAGCTTCTTTTAGACTCATCCTTGACTAAAGTTCCAAAGAGTCAGAGCTGGAAGGAACCAGCAAATATATATACCTATATTAATTATGAGCCATCCCTGTAGCACAGCGGTTATGTCCTGTGTATAGGTGGCCAGATCCCACATGGCTGACTGTGGTTCGAATTCCAGCCCCATTTCCCTCTGTCATGGGTGGTGT